TTAATTAAAAAATTTATTTTTTTTTAAAAAAAAAATTTAAAAAAAAAAAAAAAAAAAAAAAAAAAAAAATAAAAAAAAAAAAAAAAAAAAAAAAAAAAAAATCTTGAAAGGCGTTGCACAGAAAAGAAACTTTTGATGTGTTGCAGTTTTTATTTGGGGGCCGTGCACCTGCTACAAATTCATGCCATTGACGATCATTGACGATCATTGATGATGGAGGAGGGAGTGTGTCTACCCAGAGGAATGCAAATGGCATTCAAAACGGATGCAGCGACCACAGCCGCTTTTGTGGCTCTGCATCTTCCATTTTGTATTATAATGATGAAGATTTTTCCGCTTTTTGTTGTCGACAGCTGTCTGTCCCACAGAGTGAAAGTGATAATGCCTGTCGCCCAACCCAAAAGCCAGAGAATCCCAAAGATTAGACACGCTTCTGTGGAATAATCTTCTGGCTGCGACTGCGAATGCGGAAGACCCGTAAATGACAGACAGATAGACACAACAAATGGATTTGGAGTGAAATAATCTAGCTAGCTGTAGAAATATATTTTAATTTCTCGAAAATTAAATCAAAGAAAATTTATTGCCATTTTGCATACCGAACAACAACAAAAAAACAACAAACTGCCGCCATTAGAAATGTGAAAGTTAACTTTTCCTTTTCGTTTTTTGTTTGTTATTTCTTCTGTGTGTGTGTTTTTTTTTTGTCTCAACGATTCTCCAGCTAATGAACTGTCTCAGTGTCTTGCTTGGCCATGATTTAGAGATTTAGCTGGTCTTGAATGGCAGTCGAATGGAGTTCGCTCAATAAAACACCATAAAATATGTGGGATAGCTTTGCTCTTACACTTGTTTCTTAGCACGATTTGCAGGTATATCCTTTGCCTTTGAGGAAGGGTTTACATCATCGACTCAGCGCACAGCACAACACAAGGACCTTCGACTGAAAAAATACTGTTGTGCCACCTTTTCGATTAGGGTTATGGCTGGTCGTTAGTTAGTTGCTGTTGGCAACAGCAGGAGCTCCTGGCTGTAACCAAAACAGCCACCAAAACAGTTCGCGGTTCGTGGCCCGACTGCTGGCCAACTGTGAGGGCTAACAGTGTTGTCCCAACCCCTAAATGGTGAGGTCCACTCACTCACACCCTTAGTGCGAGGCCACACTGCGTATGGTTTATATGCAAAGCAATACCCATGGGTCGATAGTTGTTTCCCTCTTGGTCGAGGGTTGAATCTTCGAGGGGTAGTTCCAACTATTTATTCTAGCACATGGCTGGGCGGGGACAGCTGTCTGTCTACGAGTGCGCTCTCCCTTTGTGTGCATTAGCTATGCTTTGTTGCCCTTCTGGCGGAGCCTCCTCCTCTTAGTTTAAGGCAAATTCAATTTGTACACAGAAGATGCTGCTCAGCGAAAGTGCAGGTCTTTCCCCTTTTGCAAGACAGTTTTGTAGTTTTCCATTTCCTGGATTATCGCTCTTAAGCGAACATCTCGCGGATACGATGAGTGTCACAGAAACCCAACACCGTGCAATGTGACACCCATACTTAGATATATCTGCCAGTAGATTGAATTTCATGCTGTTGATTACAGACTGACTCACACTGAGGGTTATCGGACAGGCGCTGCAAGTGCAATTTAGGTGGCAAACAATTGCTGCCTAGTCGGAGATAGATAGATACTCGTACAAGCATTCATGTGTGTATGCAAAAAGAGCATTAAAACTGCATTCCAAGCAACTCCGTTGCTCAAGAACCGCAAACAGTATGAGAGCCAGACTCCGCGACGAGACTCCCGAGGCTTGCGGGCATACCCATAGACAGACTTATAGACCGCGTAAGGCATAGAGGCGTGTAATTAGCGTGCAGCATTGGCAAAGTGAAACTAATGGGTTACCCGAACAGCATACACACATACAAAAAGAACAACAGAAACCTAGCGGCGGGTTGGGGGGCACACAGCAACAACAAAACAACAAAAGAACGGTAAGTAGCGTAGCAGTTCTTAAACCGTAAACCGTAAGCCATAAGCCGTAAGAGAATCCAAAGCAAAAGACGCAGAACAAGAGGTCAGTGCGGAGGCCAATCCACAGATATAACTCGTATGTAGTCGTACTGCTACGCGCACGAGTAGCATTCCCATTCCCAACCAAAGTCAAAACATTTTACAGTTGAAAAAGCAAAGCGTTAAATTACCATCCAAATTCATAGCCAATATAATCCACAAGGCTGTAACGATGTAAACTCTCTGCCAAGATCGATGTTTAGCTGCGGAATGTCGCCCCCAGGGAGCGCTGTTAACGAAGGATGGAAGCTAGGGCTCCAGCCACAGTCAAAGAGCTGCCAAGCTGCAGGCCGGGCCTGTTCTTGGTGAAATTTCGCTTCTATGGATAGATCGCTCTCTCTCCTTCTCTCTCTTTCTATATCGGGGTGTGTATGCTTGTTTGTGTATGTGGAATTTGCCAAGTGGTTTGGCTAGATTCTTTCAAGAGCATACCACCACGCAAATTTTCTGGTGGGCGTTTCACTTTTGCCAGCTTTCATTTCACTCTGGCCCCAAATCTGGCTTCAACGATCGAAGCTGTTGCACTGGATTCTGACACTGCATACTGCGCTTTTATTTGTAATAATATTTATTCCCCAATTTCGGGGACAGGCACCACACAGCACAAGCACAAGCACTCGGAAACGCTGGCAGTAAACACGCGCGAACTCCGGATTGAAGCGAAGAGCGACGCTCCAAAAACACGGTCTACAACGAACGACGAACGCAAAACAAGTGAAGAGTGTCGCCACCGCTGCCTGTCGATTGCTGTGTTTGGGGAGCTTAAGACGTCACAAGGTATGTTGGTAGAAGGTGTGACAGAGCCGGACAGCGCTCGGCTAAGACAAGCAGCAGATTAGTTGGGGGGAGAGAGAGAGCATTGCAATGCCTCACCTTGCCTAAATCAACCCTCTTTCTTCTGCTGTTTTCTCTCGTGTTTCTGCTGTCGATTGGAGAGAATACCCGACGCTGGCGCTGGCGCTGACGCCGACGCTGACTTTGACTGCAACTTCATTCGGTGGGGATCCATCTCAAACGCCCCGCGCTCCCCTCGCATTCCTGTGCATTGGCTTGGCTTTTGAAGCTACGTTTTGTTCTGATTCTCTTTTGGATTCTGCTTCTCCTCTGCATCTTTCGCGCTCGCTCTCCGTGGCACTGCTGCGAAATGCATTTCTCTCGAAGCATGCGACCCACAAAATGTGTGTTGCGGATGCTTCGGGCTTAGGCACAAGTGCTGTTCTTTGTGCGGGATTGTTCTTCTGGCTTTTAATTAGCCAAACACACATTTTAATTAAGTCCCAGTGCCACTAATTGATTCGGCAGTCTATCAGCAAAGCTGTCTTTGAGAATCCATTGACAAAGTCATTGGTATGTCTGCAGAGACCCCAAACTCTGAGTAAATCACATTAGAAGCGCCTGAGAAGCGGAACTGGTTTCGTCGAACCCACGAAAGGCGACCCAAACGAACCCAAAATACTCTAAATTATAGATTTTGCAGCAGAAGTCACATTAACATTCCACTAACATGAAACGGTTAACAGTATGTTAAGCAAACCGGCTGCAGTCCAGCTCTGTTGGCCTTAACAGCCGAGCTTAAAAAAAGCAAACTGATTCCAATAAATACCAGTTGCTGTTCAAGTTCAAAAGCGAATCCACAATAACAGTCGTTAAATACAATGTTTATTTATTTAGGGTGAGGCCACTTTCTGTCTCTCTTTCGCTTCACACACACAAACTCTATTGAAGTGAGAGCGCACTCGGGAAGGCCTTATGCTAAAATGTTATGCCCAACAGCTTAACAGAGTTTCTTAACAGAGTGGCTTTGCAGTGAGTCTTAACAGTGCAGCTTAGCTGTAAACCTAACAGAGTTTCGATTAACAGATTGGAAGTGGAACAAATCCCAAGGAATTTTTGAGTTTCGCAAAGTTTGGCACAAACGCAACAAATAAAACCTCAAAAATCTCAACGACCTGCAAACCTGGTTTCCATTTTCATTTTCATTCAATTCAATGCGAAAAACAAAAGCACATCCCACTAGCAGCAGCAGCAAAAACAACAACACGTTGGCGCCCCATACATGGGCTTGTCAGCTCGCGCAACCCCGTCTTGGGAGCTCAGAGTGGGGCAGGCACATCATCGGATCTGTTTGTAGTACGTACTCGTACTCGTACTCTTATTTATGAGCCAGGCCAGTAGTCGACTTGCCACATGTGGCAGGCAGCCAGGCAGACAGACAAACACTTGTTGCTCTCTGTGTATCCGTATCTCCCATCTGTCTCTGTAATTTGCATCAAGTGGCGGATTTTCTTTTCATTTTCTTGCTGATATTTTTTCTGTTTTCGGGTGGGCCCTGCCTGCTGTGACTTTGTTTTTGGATGGGGCAACGGGGCGTATGCGAAACAATGCCCATTAATCACTGGCAACTGCTGCTGTTGGGGCTGCCGTAATGCAAAACTCTAATTATCGCCACCATTTCAGCTGACGAAACTTCTCCGTGTATAGGTTTTTTTTTGGTCTATTTAATTTATTGTACAACGCGTTTCACGGCGCAGAGATGTTTGTGAGATGCCGAAACGGGGTCTTGCCTTGCAACTTTCCAACTGTCGTCAGCGTGCAGCTGCTTGGAATAACCAAAATGACACAGTGAAAACGAAAAATGTTAATAGAAAAATCTGTAAAATCTGATCATAGCTTCATAGTTGACTTTGCAGAACTAATCTTTAAAAGGTCCCCGAACTGCAAGCTGCAAGGCGTTAGACCTTCGGCTCTTGAAACCCAAGTTAGATGGCCTTGTCAGAGGTCTTCGGGTTGTGTGTGTCCCAATCTCCGTTTGTAAACGTGATTCGCTTAGAATAGATCTCCAGTCACGTACTCCATGTTCATGCAGTTGTCGGACGCTTGGCTGAATCGTGTTTAATCAGTAAAAACTGGAAAGTCCCCGCCCTGCCCCGGAAAGACTTTTACATATGCACAGACAGTAAAGAGAAGAAAGTGAGTAAATGGGTAAATATTTGTCCCGGGCATATGTCGCGATGGATTTGTGGTAAATGAATCAGTTTTTGCTGGAGAAGAATTGTGAATTTCTTTGGCATCATCCGACGTAGAGTTTATTATAATTAATTATGCATGGACCAGGCGATGTCTCATCGCGGTTATTATGGTTCGAGCAACGAACTCTCTAGGCCAGATTTGGCTCTGAAACTTTGTTACAGTGGAAGATACTCAAAGAGTCAACAAAAGACATTCGCAGGGGTAAGCAAATACTCTTGTTTGGCGTTCACTGTTTTTGTTTATTTATCAAAACATCATCCACACCCACACACACTTTGTTGTTGTTTTGTTTTGAGGGTGACACAGTTTTGTGGGCTGCCAAATTGTCCAGCATTGAACCATAAACAAATTGTAGAATGCTTCAGATGACACCAAAAGTGTATTCAATGTGAAACGATTGTGGCACCACCGAATGCATATCAATGAGTGTGGGGGAATTCGCCAAAGTCAAAGAAATTCCCCCAAAGAAAACCAAAAAGGGGAACCTGTTGCTGCTGCGCGGCTTCATTGGCATTCTTTGGATCAATCAGCTGCGTTCAAGCTGATCAATAAAACATAATTTACGTTGCAGTTTTCACATTGAAAATGTCACCTGCTATGCTAGCCATGAGACACGATGACGTGTTTAACTTATCTGTTGAAATTTTTTCAGCAAAAATGCTGATGAAGAGAGTGACAGAGCGACTCAAAGTTCAATGGCTGGGCCACAGCCACAACGAATGCATTCGCCTGGCAATTTGTCCAAGGGGGTAATCTGGAGCTGGGCCCACTGGCTTACAGGTTTTGACCAGCATCTCTTGCGTGTCTCTGCTTCTCCCTCTCTTCGGCATGGGCCATGAGTCATGGTAGCAGAGGAATGTTTATGGGGAAAAGTCCCCCAACACTGAATGGAGATAGCCAATTCCAGTCGCTGTCTATCTGTGGCTCTGTTCTGTCAACAACTGTGACTGCTGCACCCACAAATTATAATTATGTGTATCTAGGAGATACAAATTTACAATTACAGCACCCACGCAGACCAATTTTTGTGGCGCTGTGGGCGTGGGCACACAAATTACATGGCCAGCACTTTTGGGGGGCAACCACAACAATTGTTATGCAAAGAGGCTGCTGAGGGAGATATCCCTCTCTCTCTCTCTCTATCCGCAGAGATCAGAGATCTGTGAGATCATGTGAATGGAAATGGAAATGGAAAGTGGTCAACTCAACGCTGAGCTGCGGTGCAGTGTTTACGTCTGGCCCCTCCATCATTTTGCGCACCGCATAACTAACAGAGTTATTATGGTGATTTCTTCTTTTTTTTTGTTTGCTGAAACGGAAGACTCTCCATGTACACACGCGTCTTATTGTCGTATTACAGAATTGCACAGCGACGTAATCGTGGGACATACTTGACATGCAGTGTACTATATTTACTCGTGAATGTTTGCTGTTTATAGACTTGTATTTGCCTTTAATGAGGCCGGAAGAAATTGTTGGAATTGTTGCAACTGAAACTGAAACTGGCAGCCGCTTCAGCAATCCAAAGGCAAGCAAAGGCTGGGCCATAAACAGTAACCGCAAACATGTTGTTAAGAAATGCCCAAGCTGTAGAACGGGGCCTTCGATTTATCCAGCATTCACTTTCGTAATTCCCAATTTGTTAGTTTGCTAGTGCCAGTGCCCGACCTTTATTTGCTTTTGGCCGCTTTCTAACTGCACGGCAGCAGGCAGGCAGCCAAAGAGCTGTAAATTGGCAAAGAAGGGCGTTGAAAACAGCACCAGAAAAACTCTCGACCAACGATCGAGAAGTGCTATAAAAAAAGGAGAGCAAACCCCAGCTGAATTTCAACAGACACGAGTATGCGGTGGTTACAGTGAAGGTTCGATGGAGCGGAAACGAAAAAGGGTTAGTCCCAGTTATAGAACTTCCAGTTTACATCAAACGTAAATGTTTCTGTGCATTTGTTTCCTTACAGATTGGACGTGCTCGCATTTATCAGTGGCACAGCATTGTTTTCCTTTTTGCCCGCTATCAAATTGCAGTTATATTTGCTCTTATCAGTTTTTCCTTTCCAATTCCCCTTTCTTGATATTTGTACTTACATTTTGGAGGCCATTTCTGCTTTTCTGTTTATCTAAGTATGAATAATCCGAATAAATGGCCGCATATTTTGCAGCTTTAAATCAATCAGTTATCCACGCATATTTTACTCTCTTTATATCTATGCTAATCAACCGCTATTCACTTCTTTCATAATCATGTGGCCCAGCATTAGCTTTTCAACGCTTTCATATACAAATTAGCCAGGCAGAATTATCATTTTAGCCATGCGCCGGCCACTGTCAATGGCCTGTCTTTTGTGCACTTTCCCGGGGCAGCCCCGACACTTGCCACCTCCTCTACTTTTACTTTCCACAAGTTACACAGACACAGCACTGATGACTGCCAGCTGCAGTTGCAACGATCAATCACAAACAATCACAAATGTTGCACAACGCCAATCGATTTGGAGCACAATTAAGCGCGAAATATGCGATACGCGTTAATGGAGCAGCTCCACGTCTGAACGATCACGTTCGGTCGCGTTCGCCGGGCACTGGAAGACTGTTACCGATACCCGGCCGAGACGAAGCAAAGCTCAAAGCTCCGGAGGCGGCCCCAACAATAGCACGAAGTTCGGGAGCTTCGAC